GGGGGGTATGCTGATCTTAGTTGGGAGGGAGGGGTGGGTAGTGGAAAAGTGTATCGACGGACGCAGCAACTTACTAATTAAATTCGGATGACAAAGAAATAATACTGTTTTCAGCTTCTCAGATCACAGCAAGGTTTGGCCAGAGTCAAGAGAGTAACAAGTGCTTTGTAAAATTGTAGATCCGTGTCTTAAAGACAAAAGTATTTGTCAGTTATTACAACTAGACATTCACAAAATAAATACAAATGTAGATTGTGTCAAACATTGAACGTGTAACAACGGACAGTTTAACTTATTAACAAAATATGGATGACAGGGACTTGGGGCTGTTTCTAACTGTTTAGATCACAACTAGGCTTGTCTTGAGTCTAGTAAGTACACAGCTACTTGTAAAATTGTAGACCCCGGGTCTTAAAACAAAACTATGTGTCGGTTGTTACAACCAGACGGACACAAAACTATTGAGCTTGTGTCAAACACGAAGAGTGTTTTTAGTTTTAGTTTTAGTAGAAGTTTTACGGCGCTCGCAACTGCATAAGGTCATATGAGCGCCAGAAGATTAGAGGTGTTACAAGAGAGTAACGAACATAAAAAAGAAAAAGAGGAGATAAGGACGATAGATGTTAGATAGAAAAGAAGAAGCAAACCACACCAGAGCACCCGCCAACCACCCACACTAAGAGTGTAACAACCGACATAAAAGCATACTGAAGAAATCTGGATGACAAAGATATAGCCTAAGGCTGTTGCCGGCTTTCAGGTAACAATTTGACTTAGCTAAAGTCTAATCAGAACAAAGATGATGGTGAAATAGATTTATTTTCAAAATCTTTCAAGAAATCTAAACTCATGCAAATTAGTAAACGTGTTGCCGCCCCTCGGGCACTCTCGGCTTTTGCGAGACTGGTGTTTGGCCCGTCATATAGTGCGCACCAGTGCAGCAAAGTGTTATAGAAAGAGCAGATATCAGTGGCCATGACAGTGCCCGATCAAAGATTGTGTATAACAAGATAGTACACTCTTCTCTTTGAACCAATTAAAAACGTGTCCTCAAAATCTGGTGGCACCTTCTTCGAAAAAGCGCTCGTTTGGCGAACAGTGTTACCCTACTAGTGTGGAAAAAAGATGAAGTGAAACTAACACGTTTTTGTATAAATTATAATTAACATTTCGGAATAACGCCTTTTTAAATGGTTACGCTGGCAAAAATCGTCTTCAGGTGGAAGGGGCGACTGTATTCTTCGATTAATTTGCCTTTAGAGCGAAAGGGGAGAGGTCATTAAAATAAAATAAACCCAAAGTTCCACACTTAGGGAACCGGAACAGATGATGCACAAAGGAGTGCTATTCCTATTCTTCTTCTATCGAAACGAGAGAGAGCTTCGAAACAAAGACTGCAGTGACATCTGAACCAAAAAGCGGACTTCCGCGGACACTTTTTTGGCCGAGTGATCCATCTCGTTATGTACAATCTTTGGCCAGATCTAGAATTTTATTATAATTCGAGTCTACGGCTGAATCAAATTTAAAAAACGAAATGTGAGCAACACAGAAAGCGCGAAAGTTCGCTTATAGCCAGTCTATTTTTTAAAAAATCTAAGTGATTGCTATTGTTGTGTCCATCTATTGTCAATGTTGTCTTGCTTATGTCGCTGTTGTTATTAATATTGCACAGTAAAAGTAAGGAGAAATTCCAACATTTAAAACCACAAAATTCTCTCTCTGGCCCACATAATATGACTGACATCAAAGAATTCATGGGCTGTAATACCTGGCGCGCCTCCATTTTCAATTTTAAAGATTGTTGCTGATTTGTGACTTGACTCCAATAATCCCAAAGTCAAGGAAATGTCATTCTTATTTAGATTACCATCTAGACAGACGTGAAGATTTTACAAAACTGGTCTAAAAGGTTCTGTCTGTGGAGTATCATTGATGTACATGAAACGTTTTGGCCGTGGTGACGCTAAGCTTTGGCCTTGGGTTTCAAAACAATTATGTCGTGGGAAAAGATGAAAAGGTTTTTAAAATCTAGATCTACATTTATTTGATTTAGCGAGGAAATCTTTCACAAATAGGAGGGTTTATTTTTTCAATTTTCCTTTTGTTAAGTTGGACGCCTTTCACCGTATCATTTCCGCTGTGTAATAATATGCGACTGAGAAATAGAAATAATATGTCTGCACAGCAATAGGATTAACTAAAAACCCAAGCCACCTTATATACTTTTACAATGATTATTATTGTTGTGTTTCCTTTTAAGGCTATGTGCGTCTCTCTTATTTTTGGCAGTTTTGACTCAATTCCAAAAGGTGACGTAGGAGGGGTTGGGAGGTGGGGGGGGG